CACTTTTCTAGTATAACTTTTTCTTGCGAATCCAACAGTGTCAAACTTTTAATCGTTCGACTTGAGAGTAAGGGAGAATCCGGAATACAAAGGGCTGGGGTGGAGGTAATGTTTTGGGGGCTTATAACTGGACCGATTAAAAATGTCCCAACAAATATTCTTGCGCGAACAATTTCGAAAACTGTTAAGTAACCCAGAAGGTATCGTTCAAGGGTCGGCATAAGGGACTTGCGCCATCAGTGCTCGAGGAGACCTCGGTACAAAGTGCATTTCCCATAGACCTGTATGTTAAAAAGAGCCTACAGGAGAATGCGGTTGTCTAGAGCACCGATCCCATTGGGGCAGATTTTAGGGTTTAAACTGAAGGTAGGGAAGGACCCTTAGAAAATACAGCTCACACCTCACAGTTCTCAATGCCCACCAATTTTTAAATTTTTTTGAAGGAAAATGATTATTTCGTACTAAGCAGTGAGATTTTTGCACAAAAAATGAAATTAGAAATTCGGCTCGCAATCCTTGTACATCAGCTTTTTGCATAGATACAAAATTACCTAAGGTGGTCCAGGATAAGAACTATCTTGCAAGAATAAATTAAAAATATTAGACTTAACTGGTAGAAGCAGAGGAATTTTTGTAACTGCCCGAACTTGGCGTAGCACCCCTGTATTTAGTCTCGCTGCCCTGCCATAATATATATCCAACAAATTACCCATTTTGCGGCATGTGATTCCCAACATAGCAATGTTGAATGTTGTATGCGATTCACATCAAAGACGACCCAGGCTAGCAGAAAATTCAAAATCCCAATGAAACTGTAAATAATATTAGGCAAACAGTTTTATTTGTTTAAGTAGGCTATAGAACACTCATTGTTCAGAAGGTCAAGTACTCTTACTTGACTGCACACTTTACCTCTTCAGCTCTACTTATAAAAAGTGTCTTCGGGCTTTTCGTGCCTTCCCTCCCCTCTGCAGTAACAAAATGAGCCGGGAGGAACAGAGTCATTACGAATCAAAATGACATAATAGCCTGGGCTTAACCTACCTTGAATCACACAGACAGGCGGATCACCGCACGGCGAGCAGCAGGCCGGAGCTAGGGAAGTGCAGGAATGTGGATTGTTATGATTGGTTGCAGTAGAACGTAATACGGTTCTATGAACGCTACAGTATTAGTTTTATGTGTACTTTTTGTCAAGTTAGCACTCATAGTACTTGAAAACTCTTCAGTGTACGCTCAGAAGCTCATTCAGACAGGACTGACGCGTGTTCTAAATTCGTGGAAAGCCTTTTGTGAATACAAGTATAACCTTTGGAGCAATATCCTAATTTTCCTACCTGACATAACGTAGCGTTTTGACATAGTTACTGTTTTGGTGTCAAAAGCAATGAAGTCTAGCGCATAGAGTTGAACAAGATCTGAAAAATTCGAGGTTCGAGCGAGAGGTATGAACAATCCTAATAGGTTAAGCGTTATGTGTTTTGCTGAATTCTGTTTTTACAATGTGAGTACGTTTTAATTGCAAACTTTCAGTACTAGTACTGTAATAATTATTTGAATCTGTTCTGCAGAACCGTAACCACGAGAACCTGATCGCTATCGCATGAACCATCGCAAAATGTGCAGCTACGCTTCCAAAGTTGGGAATTACGCCTCGGCTACCTGCTTGTTCGCGCTACTGGACGATTTAACGTGGAAGTGGAAGAAAGACCTGGAACAAGCACACTGTGAAGTATACCCCTTTCCGCGAGGTCAATCTACCGCCCTGGCGAATTTCAAGAATGGTGAACTGATTTATCTGGATTGCACCGAGAGCAAGCACATGGCCCAGGAGTTCGTGACCAACGGCCTCTACATCTTGGAATTCGGATCCGCGGATAGCAGCACCTACACAGCACGGGTGATCATCCATATGTTTCCCCGTGAGCGACATCCCACCCGTCCGGCGAATAAAACATACTGCAGACCGATAGACGAGGCCATGCGCAATCGCATGCGGCATGTACTGGAGATGTGCAGTTACTCGCTGTGTTTTAGAAATTGTGCGCGCGTGGCGAACTACGTTTTCCAGGGACGCCGGAATAGCCTGCAGATGGATGCGCAGAGCGATGACCTGCTGATCATGTATTTCCGTACCAGCGAACATATTGTCTGCAGTCGCGTGGAATCGTATTTCGACTATGAAAAGAACAACTAGAATGTTCTGGTGGTGGGACCAACGGGTGTCGGCAAATCGCGACTGATTAGCATGCTGTTCAACCTCAACATCTGCGGCTCGCGATCCACTCATCAAAGTGTGACACAAGGGATTTCCTTTGTATGGGGTCAAGCCAAGATCTCCATCTCCTTGAACACCCATCAAAAAGGAGCGCTAGCGGAAAGAAGGTACGGTACTGCTGTTCTCCAAGAAATGTCATCGAACAGGAGAGCGTGTAATTATATAGTGGATTTATACCAGAGATGTCGCTGAACGATGTGACCAGAGCCCATGTGATGGCTGCCTGGGAGACTGGACGGTAGCCAGCGTATTGCGCTGGAGGAATCGGGGTGCACTATCTTGCACCATGTTTTGGCAGGTGGTTGATACTGGTGCGGCATGTTTTCATTCGTACGAGTATCGTTTGTCATAGCGTCACAATCATAATAAGCGTAATCTACGTCGTCTCATAATAAGCGTAATCTAGCGTCACAATCATAATAAGCGTTACCCTGTTGTTGTTGTATAAAACGGAAATCTTGTTGCTAATGTGGAATGCTTGCTTGGCAATTCTGATTATAGGGGCATGATGTTTAAATTGATTGTTGTAGTGCAGTTCCCAATGTAACTAATTCACGATGGCCTTTTTTTAGTTATCGTTGTATTGACTTGTGTCACGGTTCCACTTTCGTGCTTCGTATAATAAGCAACAATGACTGGCTTCCTGTACTGTACTTATAGATTTATTTCGTGATACTTGAGCGCGCCATCAGAGCCGAATCACATTTCTTCCACCAATAAACCACCGAGACGGCAGCTACAAGGATCCGGACTGCAGCGAGCATTAGGATAAGCCGGGCAGGTGTCCTAGTCGCAAGAGGTCAGCTTGGAATAGTTGATATAACACGTACGAGGTGGACGATCTGCAGCAAACGCGTACCGCATTTTACAGTTTTTTCGATAGCATACGGAAACTGCCATTCTGGTTTGCTGTCAACAAGACTTCGTAAACACAAACCGGTCCGCGAAAAAAGTATTCAAATAGATTGAGTAAGTGAGTAAGAAAACCTTTTAGAATGAGTAAGAAAACCGCTTTGCAAGCAGGAATATATGAAAATTTCCTATTGCACAAGTCTCGATTAAATACAATCAGACAAACATACTACATTTGAAACCGTTTTCATCAGCTTCCAAAAATTTCAAAAAAGCCGTTACCCGAGTGGCTGAACCCTGAATATTACAATTCATAAATATTTAAGTACTTACTAGTTACTACGTAGTTCACCAGGAAAGCAGCTGGCCCAAAGGTCACGGGACAGACAAACAAATGTATGTGCGTATTATGTAGCTTTTTCTCGGGTTTGGTGTATGCATTTTTGTTAATTACTTAATAATTAAGAAAAAAGTGCTAAATGACTTACCGTATCTCAAAGTAATTTAATTCCGTGCAGTCTTGTTCGGGTTCACCTAGTCTGTTAATAATGGAGGACGCCCTTGCATTCTCAAGAGTCAAGACTGAAGACAGTCGGTCTCCCCATTCTATGAACACATGATTGTAATTTGTTGAATATGCAGTTTAATGCAATCTATGCAGACATCTTTTCCCGGAGGCTGGTATACGGTTAGTGCAGCGCGCTATTGCCGTGGGTTATGATTCACAGAGATAAGCACGCGTTTTTAAAAAAAACGGAGCTGTGCAACGCGGTATCGTGTACATATACGTGCCGTATGGTTGTTTTGACCATTCGGAGCGCAGATAAGCCCGCACGTTGCCAAGTTACACACGTGATACGCGTTACCAGTCCTTATTTATCCCTGCATTATCCACAAAAACTACATGTGTCTGAATTTATTTACATGTACGGAGAACAGATAGTAATAATTACCAGTTGATGGCGTACTAGTGTTTCAATATAATAGTCTCACAAAATGTTCGCCATACGCTATCTTCCAGTCGAGCACAACGCTTCGGAACCTGTAGAGCCTGGATAATCTGGCGGATGCGAATGCCGTCCGGTAGGACTCTGGTCTCAGACATTCCCGTATGTTTCCAACGCCACTTGTTTTGTTCCGCATAATGCGCAGTAGAACGACTGGTGACGTGCATCACGATCCGGAGCTTATGACTGTGTCATCACGATCCGGAGCTTATGTGTCATCACGATCCGCAGCTTGTCTACCTAGGCTCTGAATGGTCAAAACAACCATACCGCACGTATTCAAGATACCGCGCTGCGCTAACTCCACCGTTCTTATCTCTATGAATCATAACGTATGCACCATAGTGCGACTGCGCTGCACTGGCCCTTGTCTGACTTTCCTGTAACTAAGGGGAGAAGCCAGACAGCCAATCAGGTGTGGCTAGCACCAAAAAATGGCTACATGCCTTAATTCATGCTAGTTCAAGTTGTTATATGCGTACGAACTACGAACAAAGCGTTACATTCGCAACCACATTCTACGATTTCTGGTATCGGTCAGTGCGAATTATCCAACAGTGTTATACTGACGATTATACTCGTATTATCCTAATATCTGTATTACTGTTTTTATTGTTTTATCACTCTTTATAATTTCCACGGTGGAAGAAAATCTCCATTAATTTATCCAGATAAATTAAACCGAGATTTTCTGGTTGTAGTTTTCTGTTTGTGTAGTTCTTTTCATTATTTTGTGTATCAGGTCTGACCAATAAAAAGTCACAAGATCTCACTCCCAGAATCTCATAATGGGCTGTTTTTTTGTGGCTGTTGGGCTTATTGTGCTGGAGCTGGTCTGGCTTTTCCCAGCCCGTCGTACTTGTCCGGTACAAAAAGGAGTCGATGGCAATGTGGAGAAACGTAAGTTTTCTGCGATTTAGGTGGGATATCTTCGACAGTTTTAGATTAATGCTTCGTAAGCCGTTCTGTCGAACTGCAAGATCTTTCCGCTGGCGGCACTTTGAACTTCCGGCTCCCACGGCGGCATCTACTGGTCACACAAGGGACCATTGTGCTCGTTGGGAGCCGTTGCACTTCCTGCCGTATCAACTGGGAGGCAGAAAAGTAGACGGGCTTTCAGTTCTTCAATCTTCAGTGATAACGAAGTTTATTTTTCATACTAGTTATGATTATGCAGTTAGGATACACCATCATACCAGTTGCGTAAAACCGGACAAGAAGTGCACTACGATTAGCAAGTGTACATACATAATAATATATATTCCAGAGGATGCGCAGAGTCAAAACGCGGACTTACATCGAGCATCTGCGACTTACATCGAAACGAGAAATAGGCGTACCAAGTCCCAATTGGCTGGGTTTCGATGTAAGTCGCTTTAAGTTCGATGTCTGTCGGTGAAGCGTCGACGAAAACCGTTACGAACATGGGCGTATCTTGTAACTTGGTCTAAGCGACGCTTGAGTGCTAAACTTCGTGTTTCCGCGATTTTATTGGTGGGTCAGCATTCTGAATTAGATCGAGGCTGCCCACCATAATAGCAAAATTCAAAACCACGTGATCGTTTCTCCATACTTTGGGCTGACAGCGATGGTTAAACAGTAAAACGACAGGGTTTTCCGTCTTTTTTTTTAAGTTTTTCAAGTTCTTGCCTTCTAGTTTGTTGTTGAAATCAGAAATATGAAACTGATATGCATCTACAGTGCAGGAAGCCTGTGTTCTGGGAATCCAGATAAGACGTACAGTATAGTGTTTGGCCAGATGCACTCCTGTTTATACTGATCGCTTGCTACCTGATTATCGTTCAATTTAAAATAATTTGAATCCCACCACAGCTGACTAGCGTATTACAAATTGATTCCGACTTGCCAAAAGGTCCATGAATCCTTGTGGCTGTCTCTAACGATTTGTGGTATATAAACTTGTCATGTATTGCTGCCGTCGTATCGCAGGAACCCTGCGCTGGCTACCAGCTGTGGGTGTTGGTTGCAGTGCATTCTGTGCTTGAATTCCTGATCGGATGTGGAAATCCGACTACGATTTATACTCCTGGACAACCCCATTTTTGGTTCTTCGTCCGTATATTTTGACAGAAAATTGTATGTTTTGCTTGACCGTGTGGCGGGTTCCTTTGTGATCTAGCTACCCAGAAGTATTTTAGTATATTTTGTTGTTTTTTTTGTTTATTTTAGCTTAAAATAATACTGCATAGCAGTACCTTAGCGCGCCTTGTTTTGGTACTTTTAAACAGGTTATATGTCATTGTTTAACTTTAGAAATGTAGTGCTACAGTTTATCGTTAGAAGCATAATGTCAGCACAGCACGCATATTAAGGCCTCGTCCCGAATTCAAAGCGAATCTCGTTGCGATACAGCAACTCCACCTCGCGAGGTGGCTTCGCGTACCGTATCTGTAGGCGTGGCCACTGCATACAGCCACCTCGTGCGGTTGAGCAACGGTACCATAGCGAGATTTGCTTCGAATTCGGGACAAGGCCTAACTGTCAGTCTGTATGTCCTGACTGTTGTGCGCATGCGGTCGAGTTTAGCCCGTACATACCCACATGCAAGACGCGTAAACGGGCGCGGTTTTGCGTTCGATGTCTGTATGTATAGGGTGAAAAACGTTGTAAGTAAGTCCCCGAAGCGCCTATGCGCATCTGGTCTATTATTCCGATACGACGTGCTTTTTTCATGGATAAAATGTGGCGCAACTTGTGCGGACGGCTGTAGCTATAGTGGTACTCTTTACCGATAACAGTTTTTCGACGTTCTTAAATCTTTCGAAAATGGAAAGATAGAGAGTTACTCAGCAGCATCTACAAACAAAGGCGGTCGAATGACAGTCTGTAAATGTAACTTGTACATACGTAACCTGCATAACAGCAAATTCTGTTTAAAAGCGCAAATGACGAACCGTATAATATGCAAAAGTGTGATATTTACACAAAAGGGTTTCTATAATAGGGTTGAAATCATGATTTCATGCATTTCATATTTCTTGTTTCATTTCGTGATCATACGGACCCTTGCGTGAAGTGTGAAAAGGAAATGAAAATTAATGTGAAATGAAAGAAATCTTGAAATTGTGAAATCGTTTGAAATACGACGATACCGCATGAAATTAACGTGTTTCATAAGATTTTGTGTAAAACATTTTAAAATCTGGCGCAGATTTGACTGCTTTTGGTGTAAATGCGACGTAGCCATCGGCATTAGAGAGTAAGTACGATTAACTGTTTTTAGTGCGATGCGCAGATGGCAACACAACACTGGTACTTACAAGTTAGCAATTTAGCAGATCTTACTTACTTCGCTTCCTGCCTATGAGACTTGGTATGCCTAATTTTATGCCCTTATGGCAAGTAGGAAAATAAATCTTTTTGGAGCGGTACCCCTAATGCAATCAATGCAGAATCTCTAAAGATACGATAAAACCAAAAGCATCAGGTTTCAGCTCTTACTTGCCGGTTTTGCGGTTGACCATATTTTGTACTCTCGGACCGTTTTTTGTGAGTGGTGATAACCATACTTTCATTTCTGAAAGATATTTTGGAGAAACAAGTATTTGAAACAGCGGGAAAAGTTATTAAAGTGTTATAATTATTATTATTAAAATAATTATTTTTTTTAAAGAATTCTAATTCACGTTTCATTTCATTTCTTTTCGTTTCATTTCATTTCCTTTCAAAAATGGGTTTAAACCTCATGAATTTCAACCCTATTCTATAATACGTTTTATTCGCTAGCGTTAGCAACATAGTCGCTCTGAGATGCAAGACTGCACGTTAAAATAGATGCAGATAACCGAAATGCTAAATCCGGCAAGCAGCCGATGAAGCGCTGAAAGATCAGTTGACTGTAATATGGTACATACTACATAGTACATAGCACATACTACAAGTAGTGATAGAATTAGCCTCCGCAGCTCCAGTGCATTTTAACGATGTTCCATATGAATCACAGCATTTGTTTCTCATAGTCAATCGCATTTTGAACGAAGCGAAACTGCGAAACGGCACGGGCACCATGTACCTGCAGGATTATGGGCGTGGCCCCTCCTCTATGGGGTATCCCCGTCACTGATTTTCCGCCGGACACTGAGATCATTCGAGCCCCAGAAGGTGGCACTCTGCTCATTCCCTGCAACAACAGCCACAACACCAACAAGCAGGTGCGTATGGGGCATTATATAGACTTTCAATATCGACCAGTTTGTTTTGTTTTTGATTCAAGATTCAGGGCGCATTTACAAAGCGTCTTGCCGGAAGGTCTAATAAGTGATGACGGCAGCTTAATTCCGCAGTAATTCGACATGCCGCAACTTCATTAAGAAGAGAGTAATTTATAGAAATTTTACCTACTAGAAGCTTATTTAGCGTAGTCTTCGAGTCCAAAACCGGCTTGGTCTGTTGCATCTTGTCGTTAAACTCAAGCTTATTTGCAAACATTATCGATATTTTACAGGTGTCCCACATTGCGATTCCGCCGGCATTCACATACAACGGAATTCTGGTCGCTGTTCCCGCGGACGGCATAAACAAGGAACCGCACAATGAAGTGAATTATTGCTGCAACTGTACGAAAGAATTCATTGCCGCCACTGCCGGGAACCGTCAGATACCACGCCGGTGGCTTGTGCCCGAGTACGATTTGGTAACTGGTGCGTTTTCCATCGCGTTAGAGAACTTCTCCTACGTCTACACCGGTCTGTACGAGTGCTTGCATTCCAACGGCAGCCAGCTCGTTGTGACGCATCGCTATTGGGTCAGCGCGACCCTCTTCCGCCACAACGTTTTTAATCCGCCCATGAAGAGCGTCACCGTGCATTACGGCCATCCAGCGGCAATGGTCTGCCCGGTGCGCTTCAATTTTCTCCCCGGGTACCTCATGACCCGCTTTTTGTGGCGTAAGGGAAGCCTGCTCTTACTGGCCCAGTCAGTCCCGGAGATGAAGGGTAAAGTCACTTCGCCGTTTGGTTTTAAGGGAGAATTTAAGCTCGGTGTGAGTGAACCCTGTCTGTGCAATGCGACGATGAGTTTCTACAGCGTTACATACGAAGACGCCGGTCTTTACGAGTGCTGGTTTCGCATTAACGATCGTCTGGACGAATGGATTGCGCAAGAAGCTTACTTGCACGTGATTTGAGCCGCCAACATGGATAAGCAAGCGGTTTGGCAGCGGCGTACTGGCTTTTTCTGGGCAGTTTTATTTTTTTACTCTGGAATAATCTGGGATATTTGTTAGAACTGTGTTTTTTTCTTCTCACGAATACGCAGAGCTTTATTTTTCAAAAAATGTGATAGAACGCGCTTCGGTTGATGATATTTCAGCTACCTTCCATTGACTTTTTCCTGTATGAAATGTATTACGCCGTACCGATCTACATAGCTCGTGTATCGTCCTAATACATGATAATGTGAAAAAAATCCATTTTAAACAAATTCGTCAAAAATTTTGCTTGTGGAGTGGTATCTGTACTGTACTTTCATAGTTTCTTGGATGAATCCACGCTTGAATAATGTGACTGTGGCTGTACAAGTACAGCCTGCTGCCTGCACCGATTGATATTAGTATTCAAGTAACGCGTTCATTGCAGTCTCACATAATTAACAAAGTAAACAAAATACACAGTCTGGACGTCTGGGTTGTACAGCTAATGCGGCAGTCACAATTGGGGGAGAATGTACAGAAACTGGGGAAAATGTGCGGACGCCGATCATGATTCGGTGTCTCTCGTGCAATAGTCGAATCATACGGTATGATCCTCGATTACTCGCTCGAATCATACCGTATGATCCAAGAAACCCGGCTCCGCATTATCACAGTGATAACGGGAATTCGGGATAGTACTGGGATATGCCGAATGATACTGTAACTTGGTATAGAGGTAATAGGTGTAATTCAGAATTCGTATACAAGATACGGTCACACCGTCATGCCTAATGGCAGAAATATAAACTGAAGTACCGAGTACGCACTGTTTACAGAAATGCTATAATTACCTGCTCTTCAGCGACGCAGCCGGCTAATATAAACTGTGTTAAATCAGCTGACAGCCTGACGTTGTTGCCGCATCGATATGATATTCCGAAATGTTTGTGTAAACACTAAACACCGGCAGAATCAAAAATAAAATTCAATGGATCAGTTTGATGCGGAAAGTGTGTTCATCTGACACTTCCAGTTTGGACCTGCAATTAAATAATATTATAGAGATGGGCTAACTACATTAGTCGACTAATTAACGGTTAACTTCGGTTGACCTGGTTAAAAGCAGAAACAAAGTTGAAAGTTCAGCAGAATTTGGCGAATAAACAAACAGCCAGAAGATTTTTAGCAAAATAACTTTTCAATTGAATCAATTTTACTTACTAAAATTGCTAGGTCATGGAATCTGCGTAATATAGTACTGTACTGTACAATATCGATATACGATTACCGATACGAGGACAGGCTTAGTATTCGTGAATCGTGATCACCTAAGGGAGCGTTTCCAAATTACGTCACCTAAAAAATGGCCATTTTTCACCCCTCCCTCCCTATTGTCACGAAAAACGCGCTCAAATCCCCTTTTTTCACGTACTCCCCCTTTCGTTTTTTACACCTGTCATAAATTTTTAAGACCCCCAGACCCGGTGACGTAATTTGGAAATGCTCCCTAAAACACTAGCGAGAATTCGCGATCAAAGCGTGCCCCGGTTGTGCAGAACAGTCAGTCACCAGCCAGCCACCAGGAGAAGGCAGTCCAGTCCAATGGCTGTGTGGAGTGTCACTGGACTGCCTTCGCTTGGTGGCTGGCTGGTGACTGACTGTTCTGCACAACCCGGGCACGGTGATCGCGTATTCTCGCTAGTTTTTTAGGTGATCACGAATACTAAGCCTGTCCTCTTACATTATTATGGCGATTTTATGGTAACATTAAGCTAAGAGATGAAAACAAGGGGGGTAGTTTACAAACAAGGAGGATAGTTTACGCAGCCTTTCAGAGAATGGGAATGCTTCGGCTCTAGATTCGGCGCATTGACATAGATCCATTTCTTCAGCTCGAAAAATAATTTATTATCATACAACCACACTTACTACCGGCACTCTTAACAGTGTTTACGTGAAACCGCAAAACTGTGTGTCGGGTGAGTGACTATCGAAAACCGGCATGTGATACACAAGTGTGCATGTCGGTTCATTCAAATCACTAGTTCGGCTCATTGTTGAAACGTATAAAAATGAGGCCCATATATCTGTGACGCATGCAGAAAAAAACTGAACTTTAAACTTCGAGAGGTATCGAATAGGAGCACGCCATTGATGCCTCACATATTTGCATCGAGCGGGCTATTCTGAAAGCGCCAAAGCCCACTGCCATTTACCGTTTAAAGTGCAGTCTTTGCATCTTGAGAATAATTTGAAATAATATTACCGTGAAAAGTTATCGGTCACAGTTCAATCTATCATGAGTATTTACTAAGCTCGTAGCCTGCTTTAAGTTATTAGATGCGCCGTTCGCCAGTTAATTAGCCAATGTTGGTACTAATTAATTACTTAATTAGTGATTTATTTTTACATTTAGTACGAGTAGTAAAAACTAAAACTTCATCAGGTCAGAAACTGCACGCACACGCAACTGCTGCAAAACGCTGCGACAATCTTCTTAATGAGTAATTATTAATTATAGTAATTACCTTAATCAGTTCGCTTGGACGTACGCAAGGTAAACATCAACATCTAATCATTAAATTAATATCATTGTTAATATCATTGTTAACTACTATAGATATTAAGCAAGAATTATTAATTAATATAGGAGTAATTAGTAAAATACTAAAATTACTGTACTAATTAGTAACATTGTTGGCTACTGTTATCATAATTATTGTCGTATTGCGGAGCCTAGGTGTACAACACCGTACTTCCTGCACTGTAAAGCGCGGCGCTCAAATGAGCTTATACGATAAATATCCACAATTGGCGACTTTGGCTGGAAAAGCTACTCTCGAGTAGCTTTTCTAAAAGCGATTTATGCATCTATTGGGGCGTGATCATCAACGCGCATAAATTCATCATCGCAATACGGACCAGTTATGACCCATTATCTTATCTCGGGTTTAGTCAACTTGAGCACCATATGCACGATGTGCAGGAATGTCGCAATGTGCAGGTCTAAACTGAACGCCACTACTTTCACGCCGACTGATAACGCCTGGGAAATAACATCCTTATCTAAAACAGCACGAAAACTGTCTTGATAGAACATACCGGTATTTCTTTCAGAAGCCACAAAAACTGATATCAGCTGACAAACATTTGTCGACAAAGAGCTTCTCCAGTACTTAAATTCCCGCTCTGTAAACAGTCAAAATATGCAGGTTTTGCATATAGTATTATTTCATTGTTTCCACTGTAAAGAGGCGCAAACTCCATGCATCTTTAGTTTTACTGTGAAAAATAAATAAGATTATCGTTCCAGGTTCAGTACACTTTTTCTAACGGGTGGCATGACCGTGCAGTGGTGAATCAGCTGTAACATTAATTATTGCAGACAAATGAGAGATCCACAAAAGACCTCAGTTTGCCACCTTGCACCTAAAACTGCATGGCGCTGAATTGTTTGAATCAACGACGATTGCTAAAGGTGGTTGAACAAAAAACTAGTGCGTTGCCGTTTGCAGATTCGGTGTTACAAACGTTACTACAAAGTTTAATTATTACACCGATTATTCCTTTACGGAAAGCATTGGCACAGATTCCTGTTCTACAAGTTAATATTAGAAAGGTCATGTATTAGTATGCATATGAAGCTATGCTGTAATTAAAACTTTAAAAGTGCAACTTTCCATTTGCGTGTACGTGCAGCTATACTGTACGTTGTGACCCTGTATAATTTGTGCCCCTTGAAAATTAGGATTTTATTCTTATGAGGTAGTTTAATGAAGTATTTATTCGTAATAAGTGACTAGAAAATGATAAAATTCGTCCTTGAAATGAGCATGTCGAAGCTTTTTCGGACCCTTTTTCATATTATGATTCCCGGCTTGGGCACGAGAGACAGGGTATCCTCAGTTCCTAACATAGTTGCACATGACAAATACTTGACAAAAATTACTAATGACTACTGTTGTTGTACACAACACTGTACTGTGTACATGATCGCGAGATTAACATAAAATTAGCAACTTAGTCTTCTAATGTGGAACAACGCACGAAATTCCATAACTCTAGTGTCCGGTACGCAGATCCATAGTGTCGAAGTGTGGGGAATGCGAAAAACGTCGAATTAAGTATAATTATGCATAAACCGCAAATTACGTGGCTTTTGTTCATACTTTCTAGCACTCTAGCCAGAAGCGTAACGATAATACTGTATATTTTGTTGTTCATTTTCCCGTATAGTAGTGGCAGCACACTCAACTAAAATCATTACTAATTAGATAGTAGATACTACTATTAAATTATCAACCTTCGCTTAGTTATGCACACAACATTGCTATTTACATGCAGCGGTTAAGAGAAGACATTGTTATCATATTTTTATTATTGCAAGCGCGCACGTACGCGTACTTTATTGATGCGTAAACAGCATCTCATCAGTATGTCACAAATTCACACAGTCGCGCCGCAACGGCTGCGAAGTGCGAATTCCATGCGCTTTTCCATTGACCGCGGGAAATTTGTCAGGTACTGTCCTTAATTTTTTAGTCGAACGCAATCTTCATACCGCGCTGCACCACTAAATCTGGTTTGACTGCCTTAGTTAATCTGACTTGCTTTCCTTGAAAGTCCTTCCTAATAATACGAGTATTATAATTACCGGCAGACGGCAGCTAACGTATAAAAGACTACCGTAACTTATTAGGATAACTAACTACATCCAGCTCAATTCAGTCTTTAAGTTTTGAATGGGTGGTGCAACGCTGCAGGCCTGCAGCCTTATCTTATTACAGATACTGGTACTTCTACAGTTCTACTGTATTTATCTCTTTGCTTTGAGATGTAGTGTTCATGCTGGTAACACTTTTATCGAGCATGTTGGCATATTGTTGTGGCATGTCATTTTTAGAAGTTAGAACTTCCTAAGGCGTACGGCTTCAAACAACCCAGACGCGGCGAATCACGCATAGTACAATACAAGCCAGTTACATATTGAGCATGTAAAGATACAGGTTGTGTGCAGTAAGCGCGAAGTTAGCGCTTGAACAATTAGCCCTGCATTACAATTGTCGCAATGGCAAACTTGTCCGCGGTTACCTTTGTCCCTTTCT